GAAAAAATCTGCCCCTTCCTTCAGACTTCCTTACAGAGCCCCTCCTCCAACACACACGGACGCGCACATGACCAATGAGGGCACGAGATACATTTGTGCACAGATGGAAGGCTGACAGGCAGGTAGGCCATCCAGTTACTTTAGCCGGGCCGGCTCAGATGATTGGTCGTGCTTTTTACAGCGCTACGGCTTCTACAGATGACATTTTCTTATGGATTTTTTGTCAAAGCACTTCAGATATTCATTGCTATCGGGATGTTAAGAGCATTCCATGGAATATAACAAAAAGTGTTTCTGAAGTGAATTATCTACCCCACCTTTAAATAGTATGATTATTATTCAAACCAAGATATCTCATCTCTTCTAGTTCTCTATATATGCGCACACACACTAACATACACACTCACATACACAAACCACACACACAGTAGCAAGGGGGAAATAAACAGGCTGGGTTTTGCTTTTCCTGCTGAATCTAAATATTGACTCAGTAACATATAATCATACACGGTCTGAACAAAATCAAAAATAAACAAGTGTGCCTGTAATGCGTAAGTGTTTGTGTGTTTCATGGGCACTGAGGCCCTTGAAAGCTGACACTGACAAACGCACATAAGAAAGTGGACGTGGTTCAGTTTTAACTGGATACCAGACGCTAGGGCTTCCATCCAGCTACATCATGTATTTTCTTATTCTCTTCATACACAAAAAAAGGTTCTATCGAAAGCAGTTATCCATTTCTGATCTAACATCTGCTATCAATCCACATGACTCACATGCAATATTCAAGAGGCTTCAGATTGCCAAGACATAAGTACATTTCCATTGTGCTCTCAGAGGAGTTTTTCCCTTCAATGCCAAGTTTCCAAGTGACATAAGCAGCCAGAAATCCACAAAACAGTGTTACTATTGTGTTGTAATGTTATTAAAAGCTCATAATGTATGTTTTTCCCTCTTTGCTGGAAGCTACAGTACAACATCAGCAGAAATACAGTGAACACTGACTTCAAATGCATTGAGCTATAGAGCCCAAAAAGCCTGTTTTCTTGAATAAGCATGATTGATTGAATGTAGCATTTGTGTTAGCATACTGTTCGATCTTCTGTTTTCTCAGTGATTCTTTATGGCTCATTAGTGATGTGGTAAAGCTGAAACATGTCTGGCTCTTTTAAAGCCTGTCATAGTGTCCTGCTGGTGCCAGAAATCATGAGAGGCTGACTAAGAAACACGGAGGCAGAGAGAAATAAAAGTTGTTATTGGACTCAGACAAAAAGGACCTTTTCTAACTTGTGATCTCTCTGGTTAAATAAATGCATTTATTTGCTGTCTTGCCAAATTAGAAAATCCATATCCATTCTTATCTGTCCATTTAAAGATAATAAAATGTGCCTGAAGCGGCTCTGTGCTCAATAGATCAGACTGTGTCCTTGGCAGATTCCCGGTGTGAATGCGTGTAAACATCCTGTTATACCTCAGACCAAAAGTGGTCTATTAGGCCTGTTGCTTCCAAAAGCAATTTCAACAGATGGTCAATTGAATTACACAATCTTCTTTTGGCCTGAAAGTGTATGTGGGGAATGAGTGGTGGTGACAAAAAGTCTGATTTGGATGGGAACACAAACTATACACAAGCGTCTAGCGCATTCAAGTAAAATAATAAAAATACATAATGATGAACATGAGCATCTTTTCAATCACCTTTATTTAAAACACTTACAGCAGCAGGATGGAAGGAGCACAGTTTGAGGCAGGCTCAGTAGAACCAGTGAGGTGCATTTGTGGAAATGAGTAGAAAGCACCTTACAATGCATATCCTGATTGAGCCGCTTGATTGTGATTGTAGTCTGTCAAAGAAACACAGAGAAAATGATACCATACTGTTTGCTTGATAATGCCTGTTGTAAAGAATCCTGTGTACATTTGCGTCAGTTGTATACCTCATTTGTTATGCTTCTTATAGATGGAAAGATACTCCTGCACATCATCAGGGGATCCCAGAACCACAGGGACTCGCTCATGGATGCTGGTGGGCTGGATGTCCAGAACATTCATGGACCCTGTGGTGGCCATGCCTCCTGCCTGCTCCATGATGTAGGCCATGGGGTTGCATTCATACAACAGCCTCAGCTGCAAAGAGACAAGCAAAACATACGAAGGACTTGATATAAAGATTCCTAACAAGTTTGGATTTTTACTTCAACTTCACATGATCTGAAGTTTCTTTAAAAAACTCCATTCCTATCAGCTCCAGTGCTAACCTTGCCCTTTGGACTCTTGGTATTAGCAGGATATAAAAAGATCCCTCCATACACTAAAGTACGATGAACATCAGCTACCATCGAACCAACATATCGACTGCCATATGGAGAAGAACCATCCTAGAAACCAAAGACGTAAAAATGAAAGTCAGCATGTTATCTCATATACAAAATATATTGTTGCAAATTCCACATTTTATGCCATTGCAATAATATAGTGTTTCAATGCAACAGTGACTGTCTTTACCTCTGGGAATTTCTTCTTTTGTAGGTACTCTGACACATCCGGATAAAAATGCTGCGCATATCCCTCATTCAAACTGTAGATTTTTCCCTTTTTCTTAATCTTCACATCTCGATCCACCAGGATGAACTCACCAATAGACTGTAAAAAAAAATACAAGAAAAGGATTTTGATTTTGAAAATGTCAGAATAAGGACACAGCAAACTGAAATAATTAACATAAAAGAAATGATTTGAACACTTTTGATGCCATCTATGACAGTACAACTTACAGGGTCCAGCATGAAGCAGTTGACTCCCTGCCCGGTGGAGAGGACCATCATGGTGGCGCTGCCGTACAGAGCATAACCAGCTGCCACCAGGTTTCTTCCAGGCTGCAGGGCATCCTTCTCACACGGCTCACCATCAGTGGTCTACCAAGAGGAATTTTGGTTGATATTTTCACAAAATTGAATATCATAACGGTTGCATTGATATCTTACAAAAACGAGTCAGTTCAACTGTCTGATAAATGGAGGAGTTAAATGTACAATCATCTGCTATTAAGTGTTGTCAAATGGAAACACTCAAGAAAAGTACAGGCATTGAGTAAATTAAATGAGTTGCAACACTAGACACTACCCTCTCTTTTCTTGCAAAACTCTGGGGAAATCCCAATATAATATAACTGAATGCCATAGAAAACAATAGGCTGATTATATAACTGTGTTCATCAGCATGCAGTATCGTAGTAAAATACCTTTTTGTAGATGCCGAAAATTGTTCCAATTGAGACAAGACAGTCAATGTTTGAGGAACCATCCAGTGGGTCGAAGCACACAATGTATTTTCCCTGTCAACAAATGATGTCATGAATGTCACAATAATATGAGGAGAAATGATTTGAATACATAAGGAAACAAGACACATATTTGCAAAGATGAGCACGTCTGGATTGAATACCTGCTTGTCTGGTTCTACAATGATGGCCTTCTCATCTTCCTCTGACACCAGTACACAGGAGGTGAAGGAGGACTTGATCATATTGATGACCATGTCATTGGACAGGATGTCCAGTTTCTTCACCTGGTCCCCTGTCACGTTGGTAGTTCCAGCAATGCCATATCTTCCAAGAGAAGAAAGAGGAAAAGACTGAAGTGATCAAAGCCTAAATACATTTAGATGCAATTTCAAAGCAAACAGAACATCTATACTGTACCCCTTCTAGATAATCTGTCCAATGGGAATGGGACAGCCTCATATCTACATTCACATTAGCATGCATGCATTTTTTCTGTGCATTCTTCCCAACATGAAAACAGTAACTTATGCTACTCACAGGTTGGCGATCCCAGCCTTCCTGACAGCCGTTGAAATGGCTTTGACGGCTGTGCAGATGGAGTTCAGCAGGTTGGTCAGCTCACCTGTCCCCTGGGCCTTCTTGCCCTCCTCCAGGACAAACCTGGTGAGGGTCAGCACGTTGGTATCGAACGCTCCTTTGTCAGTCATTATGCTGTCAGGTGTGGGACCAAATGCCTCAAGTTAAATAGGTAAGCGTAGACACAAAGTTAAAAAAGTGGACTCTAGAACTGAGATAGGGGAAGGGACGGGGGTGTGCGACTCTTCCAACCAATCAAAAGTGTCCTCTCTCACAGTGGTTGGTTGATCACTTCTGTAACTGTGGGTTTAAAGAGCAAAGTTCAAAGATAGTGATTTGTTTTCAAGTAGCAATGGCCTGAGCCTGATTCAATCACATAGTGTGATATTAGATAGGTGGATATCCGTCTGCATTGTTCCGTTTGAAGATAATGAAACTAAATATAAATTGTTAGCAACATTTGAATGAACAAAATCACTTTATTAAACCAAAACTGAGGGAATTTACACTTTAAATGACCCCAAGCCTCAACACACTAGGATGATATTATTTGAAAAGCTTTTAACAGAAACACTGTTTATATATAATGAATCAGCTAGACCAGTGGTAACCAACCTTTTCAAGACAAAGATCACTTTTTATTCCAAAATGTGAACTGAGATCTACCAATCCGATATCTTCCAAAAAACCCACTAAGACTGTTCATCGTCATATTTATTTTTGCAATCAATTTATGTTACAACAGGCTCAATGTATGTGTAAAGATGCACACAAAGAAAGACACAGTTATGCAGTATCTGCTTAATGCACAATATTCATATTTGCGGTAGGCATATCTGTTCAATACAAACTATTCATATTTACAGTATCTGTTCAATGCACTATATTTAGTTTCTCAGTTCAATTAGTAATATTCACATGTACAGATATTAGCCTACAGTTCAATGTAATCCATATTAAGTTTCTCTGTTCAATGCACAATATATTTTCAATGCTCAAGTTGCTCTATCAGCCTGCCTTTAATGAGACTGCTGTGACTGCACATTATCTGTAAGCCTTTTGAAATCTGGCTGATAGTTAGTGATGGCCAGCCGGAGGCAGTCAGTAAGATGCGCGTCAGTCTTACGAGTTCTATACTTGGATTTAATTATTTTCATTTGTGAAAAGGCCGTTTCACATAAGTATGTGGAGCCAAAGTAGGCCTTCAGTTTAAGCGCACATGACACAATCAGTGGATACCTCTCTCAACTCACGAGTGACCAAAAGTCCTGATCTCTTGCTCTGGCCTTCAATTCAATGTCGCTTTGCATTTCAATGATCTCCATGTCAACACCCATAGGTAATGTAAACACCTCCTGCATTTTAGCTGACAGCTGTTAAATGTCAACGCTGAGGAAAGGGTTTGATACAAAACGTGTGTCAGCCTCGTCTTAACTGAGTGGTCCACAAACTGAACTTCACTTTGAATGCCTCCACTGCGCTAATCATGTGACCAAGCTCTCGGTCTTTCCCTTGCAATTATCGGTTAAGGTCATTGAGTTTTGCAGTCAGATCGGTAAGGAACCCCAAGTCCAATAACCAAGTATCGTCGGACAGCTGCTCATACTCCTCGTTCCTCGACTTCAGAAAACTGATGATCTCTGGCAGCAAATCCAGAAAACGCTGGAGCACCTTGCCCCGACTGAGCCACCTTACATCTGCGTGAAGGATCAAATCTCCATACACAGAGTCCAGCTCGTCCAATAAAGACTTAAATAGCCGGTGCTGGAGTGCTTTTGCGCGAATTTAGTTGACAATCTTAACAACAACATTCAATACATGCGACATGTCAATTGCTTTAGCTGCCAATGCCTGTTGATGTATCACACAGTGATAGTTTACAAATGGTGGAAAGTCTGGGTCTTTTCTGCACAGCGCAACAAATCCTGAACGAACACCGAGCATCGCTGGTGCCCCATCGGTTGTGAAGGACACTATTTTATGAATGGGAATCTTGTACTCACGAACATAGTCCTTGAATGCCTTGTACACATCCTCACCCCTGGTTCTTTCTTTCAATGGGATAAGGGCATGAAAGGCCTCCTTGACAGAAAAATCCATGAAAACCATCCGGACAAACACACCTAGCTGGGATGTGTCTGTGGCATCGGTAGACTCGTCAAATTGAACTGAAAAGTATTCCGAGAGAGACAAGTATTTTAATACTTGCTGGGATACATCTTCGGACAATGACTGGACTCTTCTGGCTACAGTAGGTGCACCAAGTGGGACACTTTTTATCCTTGCTTTTATGTCCTCTTTGTTTTTGAAATCCGCAAACAAGACGTCAGCTGTGGCGCTCATTGCTTCTTTAATCATCTCACCATCCGTAAATGTTTTTTTGTGCTGAGCCAAAATATGGCTAATCAATCCGGAGGGACGTTTCTGTAGCTGCATTGCTCTTTGCTGTAGGCGCGATGAAAAGCGACTGCTGTGCTTTTAGTCCTCTTTTCAGTTCATCAATTATTTTGGTTCTTAATGCGCTGTTGAGTGGATATGAGAATTTACCGGTGCTCGCATGATGGCGCTCCAGGTTGCCCCGTTGGCATATGAGGCATTATAGTCTTCTCTTTCGCTGATGTGAAAATAAATTCATGCTCCCATTCCGGGTGGAAATAATACGTTTTTGATTTATTTTTCGCCGGACCCTCAGCCATATCGATGTTGGTTAAAGATTAGCAGAACTTGGTACAGTTTAAATTACTCCTCAAGATGACCGTTAAAATAAGATTTATTTAACCCCACCCATAATTGCATGCAGCAATTCATAGACGTCAACATATCTAATAACCAATTGGAGTTTGTAAAATGACCTGTGTGTGATTCAAATCAACAAGCCAGAGCTAGCTCTAAAAAGTTTGTTTAAACAACCAACCAACCAGAGCATGAACATTTTTTGGAATTTTGTTTTGTTTTTTGGAAAATATATATATATTTTTTTTTTAAATGCTAGGGATCGACAGTGAAGGCTTTGAAGATCGACCAGTCGATCGCAATCGATCTGTTGGTTACACCTGAGCTAGACTATCAACAAAAGCTCCATGCTTTTCATATAATTCCTTGAATGCTATTTTTACAGGTGCCAAGCCAATAACTTGATTTATTTAGCTAATTTAACAGACTTTAGCTCAACATAAACAGACACTAACACAACAAAGGTTCCTCGCAAAAACACCTTTTTAGAAAAAGTGGTGCACAGCTTGTACTGGACATGACTAACTCAGCACTCTGAATACACTACCATAGCTTCTCAAAACATTCCTTCCCTGCGTGATTCTGAAGAAGGGTAAAGTTCAAAATCATGGGACTCACTGTCTTTGTCTACCCTACCTGGTTTTATACAACCCCTTTAATACTACATGTGCTGATCAAAACATAGACAGCCACATTCAGAGGTGGTGGTGGTGCATGTTGTCTATGTCGTTTCTGACTGTCTGTCTGTATTGTATTCACATGTTCCATGCAATTACTTCACATAAAACATAGGCTTAGATTACATATACCAGAGGGCTGTTGCAGAACAGAAAGCTGCAGTTGAACATTGAACTTAACTTAATACCAGGCATGGTCCTCGCCACAACTATGAGGTCATGAATGACGGAGAATCACACACCAACCACAGCTCTTTCAGGTAATGATAACAATCTTGACCAGTATGTGAGAGCTACAACAATCACACAACAGAAGCTGGTGTAATGAGTCCCACATCCAAAACAGTTCAATAAGAAAGCTATACTTTTTTGTTTATAACGAAACAGAAGTCACACTATATGTACTATTTTACTAGTTAAACCCAACACACTTTACAATAAATAATGTGGTAGACTATGAATGGTCTAATGAATGTATTTCTTTACTGTGTCCACATGATGTCGCTGTGCAGCTTATAAAAGATCCAATTTTAGGGATCAGGCAAGTTCCTGCAGGTAACTAAATGAAGTTCAGTTTTGTAATCCTCTGCAAATAAAGACAGTCACTTTCCACTTCCCCTAGGTCCCCTAAGATCTAGGTTTACTACTACTACACGATGTGAGATTGATCAACTTGATTTCCATTTGTAGTCATACAGTAAGAGGAATGAATCCATGATAGCTTCAAGAAGAAAAGGTAAACATTATTGAAAAATTATAAAATATATCTAAGTATATAGTAAGAGCGTAAGCATTTGGGTGAGTTTATTAATACATAATGCATATGATATTCTAAAAAAGTTGAATTATGTATTTAGACTACATTTAGCCAAAACAGAAGCAGCCCTTCTCCTGGAGGGAAGCCTGCAGAAAGTTTTAAAAAATATGCCTCAGCGACAATGGAGACAAAATGATAGTGTGTAGCTGTGTAATCGATTCAATAGAAGGAAAGCCATCATTAATAATTCACTGAGGAGTTTTCATCACCTGACTCCCAGGAGCCTGCTGTGCATGGTGACAGCGCTCCGCACATGCGCAGTAGCTGTCCCACTGCTGCAAACTTATTTAGTTTCACAGCCAAAGCAGAAATAAAGAAGAAAAGAGAAGAACAAATATCCTCGCTTTCGCATTTATGTCTTAAAAATGCTACCCGACTTTTGCAACTGATACTTTGTCACATTATGTTTATCTTCTCTCATCACCCTAACCTGTTGTTAACTTCCCCTGCAAAGGTAAGTGGCATCCCATCACTGTGTTAGCTAGCTAACGTAGGCTAACAGGTGAATGCATGCTAACTTCCAAAATTAAACAGAAAAACAATATAGAGTATTCCGTTCACCGCAAAGAAAGCATTTTGTAAAATGATGATATCATTGTTAAAGTTTATCTTATCTCACCGTGACCACAAGGCGTCAGGCTTAAGCAATTTTAAGCCTATAGCTAATTTCAGTGTGGGTAAATGTTGGGTCATTAAGTCATTTTCGACTTAATCAGTGTAATTTATATTTTTTAGGAATAGCGTACATACCTGTTTCAGCAGGTTCTCCGAGTGTCAAACATTGAGTAAAGCTTTGGTGGATTGAAATTCCCAAGCGAAATGAAAATGAAGACATCTTGACCGCCTGCAGTGGGGGAGGGGGGGAGAATATTTTTGGAGAGGACGAAGTCCCTCCCCTTCCAGGGACCTCCATGGGACCTTTTTTCGGAAAGAAATATGTATTGAAGTCAATGGAGAGAGAAAACGTATCTTTCGATCCTGTTTGAATTGTGCCACGAATTCCACATATGATGTTTGTCAATCTTAAAAAATAATTTCCATGTCAAAAAAGTAACATTTTGTCGTAAAACTATTGAAATATAACACTATGAAAAATACGCAACTAGAAAGACTACAAATCCCAGAATCCCGGTCCCGCATGCTGGCTCTTACGGAACCGACTAACTCCCCTGTTGTGTCAAGCCCCCAGGAAGTGCGCCGGAGTCTGATGAGAATATTTGTTGTGGCCAAACGGTGGTACTACACTTCCTTTAGGTTGCTGGGCCCGGAAACACTTTTTCCCATTGACTTACATTGGGAAAGAGTGGTCTGTAACTCGTTGGATAATTTTTTTAAACTAAATAAACAACCCAGTATGAACACTTGTATAGCCCTTATTAAAAACATTCGTTCCTCAAGTTGTACTAATTTGCTAATAACGTTATTCTGAGCAGGGCCGTTTCTTCCTATAGGCGGACTATACAGATGCATAGGGCCCCTGCGGCCACTGGGGGGCCCCCAAGCTGAAAGTTCAGGTTCAGCCTCAATATATTTGGGGAGAATTCAAATTAGCCGTCTTTATTGTCCCTGGTCAACATGAGGCCCCCCGCAAAGTTATATGATGAGGCCCTCTGTTTCGCGAGTGTCAACGGGGGGGGGCTAGTGGAGCCTCGCAGCGGCGAAACCGTGCCCGCGCCACACTAATTGCGCCGCAAGCTCATAGGTGCGCCGCATTTTCTGATCAGTTGAGGCACCCTATGCAAGATGAGGCCCCCTCCGCAAGGTGAGGCCCCACGCAGTCTGCATGATCGGCCTGTGGGGGGGACGGCCCTGCATAGCGGAGCCTTAATGTTTACCTTTTTAATATAAATTGTTGTAAGTTTCAATTGCTTGGTTTTCGTGAAATTAGCCTATTTTCAGATTGATGCATCTCCACAGATCATCTTAAAGCAGGGGTGCCCAAGTCGGGAGATTCCCAGTCGATCGCGAGATGTGTCTAAAAATAGAACAACAATATTCTGTTTTATCGTTAATGTCCTATAACATAATCTTCCTGTGCCAGAATAATGCACTTGAACGCATCAAAGCTTTGTGATTGGTGTGACCCCATGTGTCGGGGCGTGGCTGGTGGGCACTAGTTAGCTGAAGTTGTCCGTGTCAACAGGAGTGACAGTCCGCACACACACAAGACCGCAATTATGGCAGAAGCATAAAAATCATTATCATTTTCACTGGAGGATGATTATATTTTTGTATCTATTCCAATTCAAAGTCCATCTGTCTCATCTGCAATGCGAGCGTGGCTTTACCGAAGAAGGGTAATTTAGAGCATTTCAAAACGGTGCACAAACGCTATGAGACGGAATTCCCTCCTAATTCTGCCCTACGCTCTTCTGTTCGTTGCGTGCATATGTAACAGAGTTAATGTGAATACATAATTATAAGTTTGTGAATGTTTAATTCATAATAATTTGTGAATTTTAAGAGATGAGATTGATTAATTTAATATTTTAAGTTTTATTTCCCGTGGGAACACCTTCCCGTTGCACGTCTTTGTTTACTTCAGGTATGTATTTTCCACCCTCCGTGGACTGGCCATCTGTAGAATCTGGAGAATCACAGAACGGCCGGTCGTCAAGGGCCGGTTCGATTAGCTGACGGTCGTTTATGTTTTTAAATGGCATAATTTTCGCTAGCAGCTCCCCCCCCCTCTCTATTTGGACTGGTAGATCTCGGCAGACTGGCAACTTTAAAGTAGCTCTTGGTTCAAAAAAGGTTGGGCACCCCTGTCTTAAAGGCTTCGGAATTCCCCCATTGTAGTGAAAAAACTGTAAAGACTAGGGCCCCCAAACAGCATCTTGCATAGGGCTCCCAAAAAGCTAGAAACGGTCCTGATTCTGAGAGTTATTTCCCTCTGCATTATGAACGCGCATCTAACCCACGGGACCGCGCCGCCCGGCACGTTCATACGTGTTCAGCACTACATGCGTTTATCTTTACCCATGGATGCACAATAAGAACGGACCATATCACCTTACTGCCAGCCCACGGAGCTGTTATAATGGATATTGCACATGTTTGCTGTAATTCATCATTTGTAAAATATTATAGCCTACTACATGGGCTGTATGATGTAAATGTTGTACCGTAAATGTTGTATTAAATAAAGTTAATATTACCGACGTAGATTAACGTCCCTGTAGCTTCTTATTGCACTAACAAGCTTATTGCACTGTGTATAAATATATATATATATATATATATACAGTGCAATAATTATTTCATGCTAAATGAAGCTCTGTTGGATATCACTAGATCCTGTTACAGCGTAATATAAGTACATAACGATTGATGTGTACATTAGCATAATTACTAGCTAGCCGCTAGCTGCTAACTGCCGCCTCGTTAATATGAAATCAATCCATTACCATGCTGTCATGAACGCGCGGTGCTGTTACGTGTACGCAAATTGACGTGCTTGATGTGAACGAGCATTTTGGTTAAAGTTGCACATGCGCTATGAGCGCACATACGGGTACTTCTCAGGCATGCTGGGTAATCTGTGACGTTTCACTCTCTCAAAAGTTGGGCCATTTTGTCATCATGCGCGAATGAGCAACTCTCATAGGAATGAATGAGGCCCCGCCTCCCACGCTGTATCCAGTTCTTATTATACATCCATGTGTTGTGTATGTACAGCTCTCAACATGCCCAGACTTGGAGTGATTTTCACCTCTTTTAATACTTTCTGCCTCATTCTGAAAGAAAGAAGTGAAATGTGCCAATGTGACGGTCGTCTTGGTGTGTGGTGCGAGACGGGAGATGTAGTTAATTGAACGGTTTCACACAAAAAAAAGTGTAACTTCACAGTTTTACGACACATTTTTTTGACTTGCAAAATTATCTTTTAAATTGACAAACATCATATGTGTAATTCGTGGTAAAATTCAAACGGGATCGAAAGATAATCTTTCTCTCGCCATTAACTTCAATGCATACTTTTTCCGAAATAAGGTCCCATGGAGGTTCCCCCGGAGAGGGAGGGACTTCGCCTCTCTATTCCGCAAGACCGGAGACGGTCTGTCGTGGACTTTTGACCCTTCTAGGCAAATCAATGTTTTCTTGACTTCTTAATGGAAATATCTTCACCAGTTCAACCAAGGAGTTTTTTTAAACTTATTTCTTCTCTTAGGCGACAGCACCGCCTGCTGACCAATCAGAGCTCAGTGTGCAGAGTTGAAAGCGATCAAGTCATATTACAGGAGAAAGGAAATACAGTTTAGACTGCCGTTGCAGGAAAGACGGCCGGCAAAAATCACCGACTGTGTGAACGTGAAAATGAATAGAATATCACCTCCCATCTTCAGAGCAATCTGACTATTATAACATTAGCATTAAGAAAGCTTACTTAAATATGTGCCACAACATAAGTAACCGGATCAAAGTAACATTACGTATACAGTCCGTGGCACTGAGTGCAGACGTCGATATGTCCCATTATAATAATTCCTTACATTTATTATAGCGCTTTTTCAGATGCTCAAAGAGCTTTACAAATACACATTACACACATATCATTTATGTAACGGTCATGTACTGTGGACATTATCATTCATATCACATCACATTATAATGTATCATATATCTCCTTATCTGAGTCAGCTGAGCCGTATCTGGCCATGCAACACTCACAGTGTCACATACTGTATGCAGAAGTATTATTTGAAGCAACACATTAAGTTGACGAAACACTCGAGTCAAATGTAATTAAAGTCAGATCAGTGATATCATAAACCTGTTAATGTACGCATTCAAACACTTTTTCTTTTACCAGCTGTATTCACCTTGCAGGTGGCTATGTGGCTTTTATCCTGGATAAAGTGGTTAAGTCATGGATGTTTAAAGTTTAACGTCTTCATATTTGTCTAATTATAGTTGACTTTTCATTCAGGAAGTATGACGCGCTGCGCTGTCAGTACGCTTGTCCATGTTTGTGATTGGTCGAATGCTCCAAATACCACCCCTTTCATGTGAACGCACACCTAACTAGATAGGTCAAAGCTGGCTTGAGTTAACGAGTTGATAACCAGCGTCGTAGGACAGTTTAGCGAGAGCGCGTTTGTTTTGGATTAGGTAAACCGGCTAACTCAAACATATCCAGGTTAGGTTGAACCGGCTTCGTAGTACAGGCCTCTGGTCACCAACCCTACACACACACACACACACACACACACATGGTGCTGCCCCTCACACACACACACTTAAAATGAAGTTGCATAAATGCTTGAGCTACGTTTTTATTATAATTACTGTGAAATTGAAATGCATTATGTTTTCATCATTATTACAACAAATACACACTTGCAACTGATAACACTGGCAATGATTTTATATTTATTCGACTATTCAAAAAATCATCCTTCAAAAAAGTGGGGGAACGGCGATCCCCCACGTCCAATGATCCAAGGATATATTGTGTGTACACTGGGTGTTTCTTTCTTACTGTATACACTACTGTTTTGCTCTTGTGTGGGTCCCATCAAAATGCGTGTCTGACCATCCCTACTATCAATGTATGTGACATTAAAGGTCCCATGTCATGGCCATTTCTACTGATCATAATTCCATTGTTGAGGTCTACTAGAATAGATTATATTGTGCAATTTTCCAAACTCACATTGGTTTCTCATGCAGCATCTCTGTATAGTATGTGTATTCACTCTCTGTCCATGGCTTGCTGGAGCTCCTGCCCCCCCCCTCCCTGTGAGCCCACTGTGCTCTGATTGGTCAGCTCGCCCACTCTGTTCTGATGAGTCCACCACCGTTACAGTGGAACATCAGTGATTATATGTTACAATGGCGTTTGTTAGCAACCAGAAAATGACACCAGTAATGACAAACAGATGAGAATGCTGCGTGGGCTCTGGGTGCCGTGTTGGCGGGACGTTGCGTGGCTCGTTGCTGTGAGGAGCGGACAGTGTGAGCTGGGTTCATTTCCTGCTTGCTGCGTGGGTTCTGCAAGACAGCGAGACATCGCGAATGGACGCGGGAAGGGGGGGTGTTGAGGGGGCTGCAGCACCCCCATCTGCGAGGCTCCACTAGCACCCGCACCCCCCCACCCGAACCCACAAACGCGACGCACCTACAGTGTAAGTGCGTCACAGTTTCGCCGCTGAGAGAGTGTGTGTGTGTGAGGAGCTCCACGGATTGGTACAGTACATTTGGACCAATGGGTCCATTTGGGAATGGACACATCACTGTACCCAGGAAGAAAAAGAGAAATCTCCAATGAGGCGTTCTTGGGCAGCATAGACAGGTCTTTTCTGTGTTAGAGTTTTACAGGGTGTACTTTGAGGGTTTGTGACTCTGCAGACCGTTTACATGCTTACAAACCTTCATAACACACAAGGGGACGGGTAATAACCGGAAAAGCATGACATGGGACCTTTAAGGTTTTTGCAGTCAAACTTTGTGAGGCCTTTGTTATTTCTGCTTGTTTTGGCCGGGACACACTTATTTTTGTATCTAGTTATTCACAAGACAAAGAAAAGATTGGTTTGAAAATAATACTGTATTTGCTAAACCCTATTTTGCACGACACTATTTGACTGCATACCAATGAATGTAACCCAAGTTAAGTACTTAATGAGATTTTAGGTTAGTAAATTAATGATGTAATGAGAATTTGGACTCCGAAAGCCTTAAAATATACTTCTAATATACTATTTCTTTTTGTGTCTTTCTTTATCCTTCTCATCCACTCGTACCTCATCCGTTTGTTCCAAGTTCTGTTTTTCCAAGCATGTATTCTGTCTCTTTAGCTGCAAACTTCAATCTGCTTCCCTACAATGAGTTTTCCCAAGTCACTCTATAACATGAGAGCAGCAGAAATAGTACTTTCGGTCACTGTGGCTGCATCCAAATAGAGCTTGTTAAAACATATTGGATTTATTGCCTGAGGCTTGATGTCATGTGTTCATTCAGGCTTCAGATTAAAATGCCAGTGTGGAGACAGCCTGATTTCCATGTGAAGTGGGAATTTATTTACTGACACATAATATGCATATTCTTAACGTTATATGTCAGTGTTCATGTTTAATTGAAGAAGACTGGTACTGATAACCGGATGAAAAAGCAGGAACTGAAACCATAGTGATGTTGACAGCAGTGTATTCTAAGATAATTGTATACATTCTTTATATACAGTGACATTCTAGCTCTATTTTTATTATATTTTATGTTGAATCGTAATGCTTTTGCTGCTGGAACAACCTAATTTATATTTGCCTATCTCATGGTATCTTATTTTCAAAACTATTAGTAGCTCTCTTTAAAACCTCAATGTGCTGAGAACTGAAGGTATGCTTACTGATGAGAAAATGATATGGCATTGTAATGCGATGAGTCGCTGTTGTGCACTAAGGCTTAGCCCTTGTCTCACTGTACTTTTTGCAGAATTAACTATAATGTGTCATGGCCTGGTATTGCATTTCCTATATGTAAGCATTGTAATGGAAGCTGTTATTGACTGCTGGACTCAGGCTGGGAGAGACAGAGAGATTGAATGAGGGAAGCAGTAGGACAATACATGTACAGGAAAAGCTAATTATCAAGAAGTGAAGCATGCTTAACCTGCGTATTTTCTTTTATGCAGATGTATTCAAATTCCAAGCTGGATATAAAAGGATCCCTTCATTTTTGATACTTTGTGAATCACACAAATGGCTCAAGGCAGTTACATTTGGAGAAATGTGTCAGGTAACTATTATTACTAATTTCAAAATAGAATGATTTCTAATTCTCTATGTGAATTTCCTAAGTTTTATGTTATTCGTAATGCACACAACAAATTATTCCTATTATTTGAATGAGTTGTATTGGAATAAAAAAATCTAAAAGACACTATAACACATAGTCCTCTCAACTAGAAAGAACAAATATTGTATTGTATATGCATTTTTACCTGTTTCAAGCGCAAAAGATTTCTGTTCATTTTTGTATGTTTACTTGCTGAAATATTTGGAAGATGTCTGTGGTTGAGAAAACCTGCCAAGAGTCTGGTCAGGCTTTTTGAGGGAGAGTTGAATTGTAATTATAGAGCGGGTTCAGTCTATGTAGAGAGACATACCATTTAGAGAGAAATGACTACTGAAAACAGAGCGTCTACAAAATTAGAAGTTCCTCGTCTGTCCCTCCTCTTCTTGTGGGACAGGCTCAGAGAGTTTATATTCAAAAACATCTCGAGGTGATAGAAGGAAGGCTTTAGACTCGCTCGATGGTTGCTTTTGAAAATATAATACTGAGGTAAGTAAAGAAAAATAAAGTAAGGGGAGAAGTATACTGTATAGCATTAAGCTTTTTAAGTAGTAAGTGTATTTTTAATAAAACATTGTTGTGTTTCCTACTATTGGGAGTTAAAACAATTACCAACTTTATTATAAGTAGTTTTGCAGTTGTAAATGCATTGTCTATTTTAAAACTTACTTTAAAAAAAACTAAAGACACAAAGCAGGAAATGTTTTTAACTTATTTTTAAATCACAGGTCAAAGCACTGAAGAGTGTGCTCCTAACTGCCTGGGCATTGACTACAGTTATCATCCGGACTTGGACTACATCAAGTGTGTGGACCATTTCCAAAACAACGCCAACATTAAGCGGCTAAGCCTTAAAAGGAGGCCAAAAGTGGCCATCAACAATGCAGAAAAATTATCCAACGCTTCATCCAGCCAGTGGTATTCTGCAGAATCATTGTCATCATCTTGCAGTGATCATACAAGACTACTGGGCATGTCATCTACAACCAGCCGTCGACCTCCTCTTCCTCCACCACATGGTTCCTCATTGGATAACAAACCCTCACGGGGTGAAGGACCCACTACCTCTCAGGTAGAGTCAAAGCCTCAGCCGGCTGCAAGATCTTTTCCTTCACAAAAACAACGCCCTGTAGTGGGAGATGCCATTATGGAGACCTTAAAACACTTGGAACAGGAGGTTAAGACACAGCTTCCACCTCAGCCCCAACCCCGTCGACGATTGGCCAGCTTTGGAGGGGTAAGCTCCCATGGGTCTCTCTCCCCCTTCACTGGCCTGGGTGCATATAACCTGAACATCAATGGGAACAAGCCCACTAGCACTGGAGGTGATATGCATGTCCACCTTAGCTCGTCCTTAGGCAGTAGAGGCAGCACAGGATGCTTAAGACAGAGTCCACAGAGCTCTGGCAGAACCACACCAGCGACAGGTCTCGGCCCCATGCACCTGCAGCATGTTCGTGACCAGATGGTGGTAGCTCTGCAGAGGCTGAAGGAGCTGGAGGAGCAGGTGACAATCATCCCTATCCTCCAGGTAAACATCTCAGTCCTCCAGGAGGAGAAGAGGCAACTGGTCTCTCAGCTCAAGAACCAAGGTGACAACGAGGGCATCAATTGTGTGATCTGGAAGAGAGCCGATAGCATGGAAAAGTCTGACATTGAGACCACGATTAATACAGAACTTGAGGAATTATTGAGAAATGATCACACCAATTTTAAGGAGTTCAGGCAATTGACTGAAGAGATGCAGGCATTGGAAAGAACCATCAAGGACAAACATTTGCAAACAATGCATGGAAAAGGCCAAATCTCTCTACATGACAATGCTATCAAGTCAGTCGCAGCTGTAACTGATAAAGATATAGATATCACCCTGTCCAAACCAACTAAAGAAAACAAATATGTGAACACTGATCAGGTACAGACGAGGTCAATTGCAACAGAAGTGACGGAAGAGAATCTTGGACTATACACAGAACGGGAAGCAGAGATTGATGCTCAACAATTTTTAATTGGTGCCTTGAAGGAGAGAATGTGTTACATGGAAGCAGAGTTGAAGGAATCAGCTCTTGAGACAGAGATGAGTCGTCTGAAACTGGAGCTTCATGCTGCAGGAGCAAGGAACCGAGCTGATAAAGCCTGCTCTGCAAGACCATGCACTGAGAGCAAAAGCATTGAGGCAAGGCCCCACACCACAAGCCAGGGTGTGGGAAATCACACAGAGCTCCAAGATGCCAGCACAGGGAAGGAAACAGAGGTGAAGACTGTGGGAGTATCTTGTTACGGGCCTGAGCTTAAGAGTGTTTGTACAGGACCAGATGAACCCATGAGCCACTGGGAGGTCAGGGAGCGGGTGGAGACTATGGAAAAGGGTGTGGGGATCCACATTTCTACCAACACACAGGGAGTTGGAAATGCGATAAAGTTATGTGATGCAGAAACCAACACTGAGATACCAGTGGAGAATCTGGGTTCTAAGAAAAGTCAGATTAAGTATCGTTCAGTGGGGTGTGGGGACTGTTCTGTTGATGTGATAGTCAGCGAGGCAAAGGAAGTTGTGTCTCAAGGTATTTCCACAGATCAAGTCAGAGGAGTAGATCTGGGAGTCATGGCATCACCTCAGACAGCTTGTCAGCGTACCAACACAGAATCCAGTTCAGTGTCTCGCTTTACCAACACCAGCCATGCCTTTAACACGGACTCCAGCACTAATACTGTCTTAAGTACCCAAGACAAGCACACCAACACCACTCAGACTTTTACTAGGACAGTGTCAGTAGGCAACAGGGTCAAAGACATCAAATGTACCCCAGAGACCCGCACTATTGGTGTAGGAACTGAAAATATACAAGGAAGTGCCTTAAACCAAACAACAGGGACTGCCGCCAAGTTAACCCGAGACGCTGGTGTTGGATTTACAAACATTAATGATCATTTCCTGATTGGGCTGAAAACCCGGAATATGGCCTCTGGACCCTCTTATCTACCTGACCCCATTAAGACAAGGAGCATTGGTGTAGGGGAGGGGAGGATACAGGATCTGTCTGTCTCATGCAGTGCACCTGGCCAGATGATCCAGAGATCTTCACAGTCTCAGTGGGGCCCCGAGCTGAACCATTACATAGAGAAGATGCAATGGCTTCTCAGGGAGCATGGGGACCTGCTGACTGATGGCCAACCTCAGAGGAGAGAAGGATTTGTCCCACAACCCAGTAGCCAAGGAAGTGCCAACTCCAAGCTGTCCTGCAATAACGAAACTGCAGCACAAGGAGAAACAGAAGTCCATCCTTTAGGTCCTCAGCCATCAGGTAACATTGCAGATGTTTTTGCTAATGTATCTGACCAAAAAAGCATTGTGCATATCCTCCTCATTTAATCACATCTTACTGCCAACAGGTCAGTGAAATAGCATTAAACCAAGGCACACCATATAGCTTTCCAAACCTTTGAATTATTGTAATCCTGATCACGAAAGTCTATCACATCCTGTGTACCACCTGATTACAACAGTGTGGCACTACTGGCCAAAAACACCTTTTAGTTACTTTGTTTCACTATTTTATAATAACATAAACGTTTTTAATGTTTGTATCATTGTTCTGGAACTATTAAAAAGCATCAACATTACACTCTTTCTCTGTTGCAGTCAGCGGAGAGTTTCAATGTCCATCTCCACTCTTAGATGAGTCTTCCATGTGGGACCAAGCAAACCCAGGATTCTGCCAACAGAGTGACACTAATTCAGAGGTGAAAAGAATGATACAGATGTTGGAACAACAGGCATCCTCTAATCTGCAAGGTAAACATGCACATGTCTGTGTCTATGTGTTATAAAGGTAATCTACACATGAAGACAGTAAACATTGGGTGGGGAAGCATATGTCTGTGTGAAAGAAGCTCCCGAGGCCCACTCTAAACTTAATTTAGGTTTAGAGGAAGTGGCTGCCTTTGGCGCTGCGTGTTTACTTTTTGAGGTATACTCTTGTAATGTGTGGAATGATATCTGGTTTTGGAGGGCGTCTCGTACCACATACCAGTCTGTGGCAGTGGGTCTAAAATAGAGTGATATCGTAGGAGCATCTGTTTATAGAGGAAACTTTCCCTTTTTAAAATGAGGCCTTCAGATTGGTAAGAAACTATTAAGCATGATGATTATCCTCAGTACGTCCTTCCTCGATTGGCCTAGGGGATATCTGCGTCTTTGGAGTACTTGATAAAATACAGTGCATATGACACAATAATAATTGTGTGTGTAAAGATTTTGATTGTTTCTAGACAGGTCATCTTATCCCGGTGTGCGGTCTGTAATGAAGAAACGAAATGGCGACCAGGGTTGTAGCAGCACCAGGAAGAGCATGAAATTCATGAGGGTGACCACAGGGTAATCATCTAATGTCAAAACTGTTGAAGACATAAGTATAATAGCATAGTTATGTATTGAATCCCGTGTTTTGCCCTTAGATTGGATCCCATGTCTTCTTACGAATGTTGTGCCAGTGAGCATGCAAACTCTGAGGAAGTGGAAAAGAGGGGAAACAAAAATTCAAGGGAAACATCTCAAGATGGAACGCAAGGAAGGAAGGGCAAAGGTGGTTCCAACAAGGGGTCAAAAGGGACTCCAACACCACATTCACAGAGGTAATGATTTAAAGCCCAAAAATCTCAGTACAACAATATTGTTCAGCATTGTGCACATGTCAGTCAAACCTTTAAGGGTTCTGCTCAGGTCTGAACTCACACTGTGTAACATTTAGCCTTTATTCCTTTCAGGTGTAAGTTAAGTGAAAAGATGTTTTCTGCTTGTCAAGCCTTGAAGATGCACCTGAGTGATGACCCACCATTATCCAGCAGAGAATTGGTATGTTTGGTTCAGTATATTCAGCTTGAGGGCCATTGAAGGTCACTATATGTACATGTGTGTATGAATGTGTGTGCATGTTGAATTGAATGTCACTGCATGGCTGCGGAGATATGCTAAGGCGGGGTGTGTTCAAGCATACTATTTAAAAAAAGAAATGGCTTTTGCATTGGATAGAAAAGGCACAGGAATGTGTCGGCTCTGTCATTTTCTGTTATTACATTTTTCTCGCGCTTGAAAGGAATGACATTTTTGAAAGGAGTAAAAGAGGCTCCTTGCTGCCAGGATCATTTGGTAAACAAATAGAGAGAATGAAGTTCAACGTTATTTCTCTTACATTCTTGTAAGAAGAAGATTCTCCTTTATCTTCAAAGTACTTTAAGTTATGGTGACTTTTATAGTTTTGATGTGGCCAGGTTAAGGAAAGTTTGGGGCTCTCTGCTGGAACTGCTACCCCCTGCGACCCGACCACGGATAAGCGGGAGAAGATGGATGGACTGATGGACTTTTATAGTAGCAAATAACACATTCATGTATTTTTGTGTCCTTTTGCAGCATGACTGTCTACAAACAATCGAGCAAGAGTGGTTTTCTGTATCCAGCCAAAAGTCAGCCACTCCTGACTCAATGGATGATTACTTGTCTGCATTTCGGGTCATTTCACCTTCAGTATTGCAACATATAGCTAACATGGCTGACGGCAATGGAAACACAGCTCTGCACTACAGTGTGTCCCACTCCCACTTTGCAATTGTCAAGAAATTGCTTGATGCAGGTACAGAAATGTAGAGGGTGTTGTGTTTTCTTACAACATTGTGCATTAGTGCTCTGGTTCTGTGTATATACAGTATGCTCCCTAATAGCGGGAGCAATTAGGTTACATTGAGTGAATCAGTGAGTGCATCATATGGTGTTTTTTATACAACAAATTAGTCAAATAAGCTCACATTTTCACAATAATGACTTAAAATAAGGAAATTGTTTGTATATCTTAATGCTATTTCCTATCCCAGATGCACACTTTTCAAACTCCAAAGGGTAATAAGGATAATAGATTTTTTCCAACAGTATGAAGGAAATACATTCCAGCGACAAAATATGTTGGGTTTTACCATTAAATCTGTTTTGAAAATAATAATATTTACGACAGATACGAAGATGTACTTTAGAAATCCACTTCTGATGGAGGGGATATAGCATTTTTACTTATTTTTATCAAAAAGCTTTGCTACATTTTTCAAAAGAGATTGATCCTTCCTCTGTATGGTTGAATGGGAGCATAACAATCAGCAAACTCAAACTAAACACTAACCCACTGTTACAAAATATACAATGTTATTTTTGAACATTTCAAAAGCATGATTAGAGATTGTTATTATGTTGCATAAAATACTCAAATGACCATGTACTTTGTATGATGGTAACAAAATAACTTTAATTGAACCTCTTCTGAAATTGTTAGTGATGTGCTTTACAGGATGCACTTCATGTGGCTCGTGTAGGCAAGTTCAAATGTAAACTATGTACTGTAGAGAGTGGGCACTTTGAGCAAGGCTAAAATATATTTGTAATGTTGTGGCTGTGCACTTGATGAGTGTGCATTCGATATCAGAAGATACAATCTAAGTGTTTCAATTTTAAACTTTGTAGTCAATATAAAGGAATGATTTTGCGAGTACAAGCAATAAATAAATAAAGTTTTAAAAGTTTTTCATCCTTACTTATTTTTGCTTTACTCTATGTTTTTTCTACTCTCGCCAATTGACCACCGTGGCTGCAGAGGTGTGTAACGTTGATCACCAGAACAAAGCCGGGTACACGCCCATCATGCTGGCTGCACTCGCGGCGGTGGAGAATCCAGAGGAACTGAGAGTTGTGGAGCAGCTCTTCACAAAAGGAGACGTCAATGCCAAGGCCAGCCAGGTCAGAGTGCTCTCATAGGGGTAGGGGCTGTGGGGCCCTGCTGATTCACTCAATGGGCCCTAATGCTGTTCTGGGTACTTCTGAAATAAAAAAACAGCATGTTGTTGACCCGTTAATAATATAAAATTGGATGTGTTTGGATACTTTTTTAGGTTGTTAGGGTTACTGCAAGTTTCAAAAAGTTTAGTTCAAGAGCAATTTGAGACTACGTAGAAGGACATGTAATACCCATTTCTAGTTTTTGGTCATAAAGGGCAGAAGTATTAAGGGAAGTTAGCAGCGAATGAATGAAAATAAGTCCTACAACTACTTTAGGTTCATGCATTTATTTGTTCACACGTTTTCATAAACATCGTGGCTAATTCCATGAAAGACAACAAGAGAGCATTAGTTTTAAATATTTAAAACAGATCTTGACTTTTTTATTCCTATCAGACAATTGAGTTTAAGACTTTTTGAGGACCTGCAGAATCATCAAAGAAGGTATAGGGGATTAAAACAATTGTGAAAGTGAAATAAAGACAATGGACTGTGCTATGAATTTCAATGTATTGCATAGACATAATTAGTACCATGTTACAAAATCAAGGAAAATATACAAGATCAATTTTAGGAAATTGCAGAACCATGCAATAAAGCATTACTATATGTTTTTATGTGTGTATATCTTCAATTAGTGAATAATGGAGAAAGTGTGAGCTCTATGGTTCCACCACCAAGCTGTGATTCCATATTTGAAATGTTTGACATGTGCCAACTCTGCATCATCAACCCTGTTTCCTGTCTGACCCCGTGGTCTGCGTGCAGGCTGGTCAGACGGCTCTGATGCTGGCTGTGAGTCACGGCAGGACGGACATGGTGCGGGCTCTGCTGGACCAAGGGGCCGACGTCAACCTGCAGGATGACGAGGGCTCCACGGCGCTCATGTGCTCCAGCGAGCACGGACACGCCCACATCGTCAGACTGCTGCTGGCACAAGACCACTGTGATGCCACCCTGAATGACAGTGTATGTGAGTCAGTACCTCGCCTCCGGGCAGCCTCTAAAAATGTGGTGGCTTCAAGCTTTGAAACTAAGGGATTCCCACTTTGTGTTAAATTTCACATCCATGTAGTATTATAAGCAGAGTTAACATTCAATATATCAAGGAGACAAAGGCAAATCAATTGTATGAAATGGAATATGTAGGAGGCTCAGGGGGAAGAATAGTTGTCTAACAACAGAATGGTTGGTGGTTCCATCACCATCCTCTGCAGGAGGAAGTGTTGAAGTGTTTTTGGGTAAGATACTGAAGCCCAAAAATATGTCCTGTAAGCATGGCGTAGATCCAATCCAACTTTATTTATAAAGCACTTTAAAACCTCCAGACCAAAGTGCTGCACAGAGAGATACATAACATATCAAATCACACAGCTCAGCTCACAAAACATAAAAATAAGTATAAAATCACATAAAAGATACGAAACACAAAACAAACCAGAATAAACGTAACAATTACAAAATAAAAACATATAAACAACCATATAGTAAAAACAATAGACCACTGAAAGCAAATAAAAGCAACAATTTACTTGGTTCCAAATGCTAAGGAGAAGAGGTGGGTTTGAAGACGGGATTTAGAAACAGACAGTGTGGGAGCCTGTCTGATGAGCAAGGGCAGGTCGTTCCACAGTGTAGGGGCGGCAGCAGAGAAAGCACGGTCCCCTCTGCGCTTAGACTTAGTTGTTGGCACCCTCAGGAGCAACTGATCAGCTGACCTGAGAGTGCGAGTTGACGTGTAGCTGTGTAACAGCTCAGAGAGGTAGGGCCATTGAGGGCTTTAAAAGTAAATAAAAGAGTTTAAAACTGAATCCTCGAATGAAGGGGCAGCCAGCGGATTGAAGCTAAAATGGGGGACATGTGTTCGTGTTTGCGTGTGCCAGTTAGTAGCCGTGCTGCTGCATTTTGCACCATCTGCAGGCGAGCAAGGGAGGACGCACTTATCCCAATATAGTGCATTACAATAATCCAAGCGGGAGGTGACGAAGGCATGGATTACCGTTTCAAAAAGGTCACTATTTATAAAAGCTTTATTTGGGCTAGCTGCCTGAGGTGGAAGAAGCTGTTTCTACTGCCTTGATCTGGCTGTCCAGCTCGAGTTCAGGCTCCATCTTTATCCCAAGATTTGTGATGCGAGGCCTGTAGGTCGCTTTGAGTTCTATGAAATGTGATGAAATGACTGCAGCTGGTAAGAATGTAGCTCATCTGTATTACCAAATAATAGGGCTGCAAAATGAATAGATTGTACATTAAAACCATCAATGAGCAATATACAGCAGAGAACTTATTAATGTATTTGTGTTTGTGTTTTTACAGGATGACAGCACAGCCCTGTCCATCGCCCTAGAGGCGGGACATCATGACATAGCAGTGCTCCTTTATGCACATGCCAACTTCTCCAAAGGACAGACAGGGGTAAGTGGGTTCAAACTAACATTTATACAAAGTATTTGTGAGTAGTTTTCCCTAAAACGTGTATTGTGTTTATATGTTTTAACAGGCAGCTGCTCGTCACAGCAGCAGGTCTCTGTCCTCCTCTGGTGGCAGAAACATCTTCGAATGAGCTGATGCCCCAAAGGCTGATGCTTTTTGGATCTTACTTTTGAGGTGATTCAGTATCATAGCCTTCATAACAGTGGGGCAATTTGAACAGTGTCAGTATCTTACTCAAACTTTTCATTTAAATGACATTATGCTAGTTATTCTCTGAAATGTATTCAATGCATATTATGTATTAACTCGGCAGGTAACATATGCATGGCAGAGTTATTGTTAATCCATCTGAACAAGGGTTGATAATTAATGTGTGTATCCGGCAGTCATCTAATATTTACAATCAATTGTTTCTTTAATGAGTCCTTACCCCAAGTGAAGGAGTTCAAGTATCTCGGGGTCTTGTTCTCGAGTGAGGGAACAATGGAGCGTGAGATGGGCCGGAGAATCGGAGCAGCGGGAGCGGTACTGCAGTCGCTTTACCGCACCGTTGTGACGAAAAGGGAGCTGAGCCAGAAGGCAAAGCTCTCTGTCTACCGGGCCATTTTCGTTCCTACCCTCACCTATGGTCATGAAGGGTGGGTCATGACCGAAAGAACGAGATCGCGGATACAAGCGGCCGAGATGGGTTTTCTCCGCAGGGTGGCTGGTGTCTCCCTTAGGGATAAGGTGAGAAGTTCGGTCATCAGGGAGGGACTCGGAGTTGAGCCACTCCTCCTTCGCGTCGAAAGGAGCCAGTTGAGGTGGTTCGGGCACCTAGTTAGGATGCCACCTGGGCGCCTCCCTAGGGAGGTGTTCCAGGCACGTCCAACTGGGAAGAGACCAAGGGGTAGACCTAGGACCAGGTGGAGGGATTATATCTCTTCGCTGGCCTGGGAGCGCCTTGGGATCCCCCAGTCAGAGCTGGTTGATGTCGCCAGGGAAAAGAAAGTTTGGGGCTCTCTGCTGGAACTGCTACCCCCGCGACCCGACCACGGATAAGCGGGAGAAGATGGATGGATGGATGTTTCTTTAATCATTATAATTGTTATTTTGCAAATTATATTTTATTCTGATATTTTTTAATATATGTATGCAAAATAGTATTATAATATTATACAAAAACATATATAATATGCAAATGACCAAACATAGTAATTAGCTATAAATTGTTTCCATTTTGTCAATTAAGTAAAACAATTAGGGGGACTTTGGACATCCGTATTTTTTATTTTAGGCTATTTGTGTTTTACGATTGAATTGTATTTAAGTTTATACTTTTGCTGTATCTGTACTGCTTCCATAGAATAATCATACAGCATGATATGTTGTAAAAACATGTTTTATTTTGTCATTTTAAAGGTGGTCTTGTTGGTGACATGTAGGCCTACTGTCAGGAATATTTTAACTTTTGGAAACGCAACTTTCTTGCTTGGATGAGAAGATAAATAAAAGTTGATAATAATAAAGGTTTCAGTGTTTGGGATGGACATTTATTTAATTTGCTGTTCATAAGTTACTCAATTAGTTGGGGAAAGAATGCCTGTTGAACCTCACTGGGTCATGAACACCTCTTTCCCTCATTTTCACATCTGGCAGACACCAGTTCGATTTATTTTATTTATTTATTTTTGTAATCGTTTATTTGAACCGGGACAGTGCACATCGATAAACACTTTAAAACAAAACAATGCTTACAAGCGTAAATTAGCCGGATTTGAGCTTTAAGCTAATTTCCATCCGCAGTCCCCTCACATACAACATACAAGAATAATATACATGACATGCAGAAAGAGCATCAGCAGCATACAAGCACTTACCACATGGCAGTACAATGTAGCAGCTACGACATATAAAGTGCAGGAGGAGATAAAAGTGCTACATAAAGTGCAAGAGTAGATACACCTGTATAAAAGTGCATTTAGCGGTGATTACACGTCTGTTTGTTGCTCAACCATTCTTTGAGTTGACCTTTAAAGCTATTGAGAGTGGGACAATCCCGTATCTCAGTTGGGAGGCTATTCCACAAAGAGCTGCCTTTAATGGAAAGGACATTTTGTCCAAAAGTGGTCCGTCTACAGTGGATTTCACAGTCTCCTCTGGTTTCTGACCTAGTGCAGCGTCCAGTGTCTTTTTGTGGATGATTCCTATAAGGGGGGGGGGGGGGGGGGGGGCAGTCCATGTAAACATTTATAAATAAAACACATACTTGTAAAAGACTTAAAATTGTCAAAACTCAAGAAATTGTTTTTCTCAAGGATGGTACAGTGGTGGTATGAATATGGCTTTCTGTCAAACACCTGGATAGCTCTCTTGTACAGCTGTTCTATGGGTTTCAGGTTTGTGGCACAAGCAAACGACCAGTTTGTCAAACAGTATTCAATGTGGGATAGAATCATACAGTGATTTTGCAGCATTGACAGTTTTGAAAGGTCTAATTTGTTTGAATGTTGCAAGTTGAATTTAATAGTATTTGATACTTTCTTAATATGTTTCTTAAAAGTCAAGTTCGAGTCCATTATGACTCCAAGATACTTGAAGTGGGGGACTAGTTCTAATTCTGCTCCTTTTAAAAACACATTGGATCCTTCGATTTTGACTGGTCGTTTACTGAACATCATGCTTACCTCCCTGTTCTTTCTCTAACACCTCCATTCGCCACTCGTTTCCTTTCACCTCCCTTGGTTCTAGTTGTTATTATCTTTAGGTATCCTTATTAGTAAGGATAGGGCCTGACAATGCTTTAAACATATGTTCAGACAGGGTCGGCTCTAGAACAACTTGAATGGGGGGGGCAATCATTTACCAAGGGGGGGCACACACTGCCGTCAACAACCAACACACAAACACCAACGCAACTTCAATTTAAAAAAAACATGCTGTAAAGTCTATTGTCTTTCACACACATTGCAGGGTGTAGTGCTATTGTATAGTGCACCTATGACTTGTGCATACATGCACGGTTGTGGCACGACCACCAAAACAGAAACATATAAGGACAGAGGGTGTCGTTTTCTCATACTGATATTCTGCACAAACTGTGCTGTTGTATTTGCTGTAAAGTGTCTTTACTGTAGGTTATTTTTGTATTATACTGTATATACAGCACTTTGGCTCGACCAAAAATCGTTGAAAAATGTGCTATATAAATCAAACTTGATTTGATTTGATATGGACATAAGCCATCATATAAAAAGTGTGCAAATGTATTTAGTATCCTATCCATGTGAACATGTTTTAGGTGAGGGTGGACCTAACCTCCTCTAGGAGGGTCTGGGGGCATGCTCCCCCAGGAAGATTATTTTTTAAATATTGAAGTTAAATGCATCAATCTGGTGCACTTTGAGAGCAAAGTGAAGAGATCTATGGATACATCTCTCAACATCCATATGAAACACAACTGTAAACAGATTTACTTTTTCTTTATGGATATTTCAATAATCATTCCCCTTTTAAACTGTATTCTTGTGTTACTGTCCTATAGTATTTCATACCCGTTTTTCATTTATTCTCTCTTTAATAACTATAATGATCATATAAAGGTATTCCTCGAAAATACTTACATAAATGGTGACCAAACCGTTTGAGACCCACTGAGATAACTTACACTAAAGTGAACTATCTAAACACTGAGAGAGTCCTTACCTCACTGAGTTGACGTTATAAGATCCTCTCAGTCTGACAGGAGAGGACCCTCCTCCACCTTGGTGTAGAAACAGCCCTTTATATCCGTTAGCATAGCTAGCTAACCAGATGCTAACCACAACATTCCACGTTACCGCTCGCGCACTCACAAAATGCGCTCGTGCCACACACACACAGAGCTTGAATGAAACACAGAGACCCATGTACTTGTACTGTACTGTATATCATATTATTTTTGATGGCTTTACTGTATAATCAGTGTAACAGATTAACAGATCGTCACTGGGCTTTCATCTAAACACTCAGCCACGTAATGATAACAAAAAAAAGGTCGGGGGTCATTGGTCAAGCAACACACCAATCAGAGAGCAGCAGTGAGCACACCTCAGGCTGTGTTTTATATTTGTATTATTTATTTCTGATGTATTTCACACAAAAAACCTTTAGTGGAAACGTTTTCACTTAGCCTATATGATAAAAAAAAGAAAAAATCGGCAAAGTGACAAGGCTTGCCCACCCTGCGTTGGGGGGGGCACAGTGACTCATTTGGGGGGGCATGGCCCGCGAATGACCCCCCATGACGCCGACCCTGTGTTCAGATGACCAATAGAAACGACTAGCTTATTCTTTACTGGCTTTGTTCTGATCAAAGAATGCTTGGCGCTCTCCGTGTTCACACCTCCTCAAATTAAAACTGAATTTCAGTTTTAAATAAGCTATAAAGATTGAATAAAACATTCGGAATAACCTGCTCCCTGGTACAGGCTGTTTTAATTCATATTCCATAAGACCTAGCTGGAGAAGAGAGAGTTTGTGGGGCCATGTTGGTATTAAATGTACGAACAAATTATATTCTGAATTATCCATGCACCACATGTCACTGTTTAATTTTAATAGGAACACTGATAATACATATGTAAACAAGTATAAATTAAATAATAATAAATTACAAGAAATCATAAAATACTATAGTCCTTTTTAAAGTGTGGATATAGAATTCAATCATTAATACAGTGTTGACATTAGTGGAGCATGCAGGACACAGTGGGTTGTGTATCCATCCTTTCACTTTTGTTTTTTACGACAAAAAAAATGCATTTCTACGGAGCCCTGGAGGGTTCATAGAGAGAAAAATAAATAAAACGTGGCCACGTTTTACTTTCTCGTGCGCACGCTTTAGTAACTTGTGCGCACGAGTTACTAAAGCGTGCGCACGAGTTACTAAAGCGTGCGCACGAGTTACTAAAGCGTGCGCACGAGTTAATAAAGTGTGGCCTCATTTTATTTAAATTGAGGGATTCCTGTCCGTGACTCACAGTATCTGCTGCCCACAGCTGTTTTATAGAAGGAAAACCTCCTTCACTTTATGAAATCTCAGCGGCACCAGTGGCCTGTACTACGAAGCAGGATTGGCTATTTACACTATTCATTCATGAAGTATGACGC